CAGAGTTAAGTGGCTTCAAGCTCATTCTTTCTTGTTTTGTTTTTTTCTCCTCGATTTATCTAAATGCAAATAGCTTTTTATATAATGTAATAGGATTTATTATATGAATTTCAATAAACGTTGTTACTTTTTTTTTCTTTCTTGCGATGTCAACAAGAACCACTACGTGGAACTTACCGTGCCCAGTTCGCGAATAAGATTTTTCAAATAATTCTTTTTTGTCTTAAGTTTACAAAACTGTTGGACCTATAGTAAGTGAATAGTTGAAGGTCCTTAAATTCTCTCCTGTCGTATATATTTGTTTGTTTACCAGTGTAATACTTAATTTCGTTCAATTCTGCATGCTTGTCATTTTGCTAAGATTACTTTCTTAGTTCTACTTGAAGGAATGCTCCTCGATGCAAGAAGCAATTTATAGTAATGGTCCTGAGACATTTGAGAATAGTCGAGGTGAAGTTTTTCAGACAGAATTTTGTTTCGGTAGGCAAACGTCTCGCAAAATACAGGCCCGTAGCGTCTAGGACTGCATGTGACTCAGGCATAATTAAGAGACTTAGGAACGATAGAGGTCTAGAATAGAACCATAAAACTGAGTGTAATTAATTTGAAGCAGTCGGACTTTTGTTTGCAAACAAACCCTAAACAGCGCCCCAAAATCTGAAATATTCTAAACAGGAGAAATACAAATTTGCCACTGCAAATGCGTAGACATTTGTGCCTAGTTCTGGACAAAACATTGTTTGAATACATCGTAATGCGATAAAATAACAACTATCGACTTCGAAAGCACAAACACGTCGCTAGAGAACGCACATGGTCAGCCCAAATCGATTTTTCCTCGTAGGTTTCAGTCGTAGGAATTTCGTAGACCTTTGGTACAGGCTCGTAATCCGATATTACTTCGATTTCGTCGAAAGGACTTCGATTTGGTTACAGACACTCACTCATGGTCGATGACATAGTGACGAGAGGCCTTCCCAGAAGGCCTTCGTCACAAAAACGTCCACAAATCCAAAGAGCCTCACTTTTACCAACGATTATAATAAATACATCAGTATTTTCGGAGAACAATGCGTCCGTCATCTTGAAAAGTGGGACTCGAATCACTAAATTATAACTCCTAAAGGAATTAAAAGCCTCTCAGCTAATGTCAAGTTAATATAATACGATATAATGATAGATGAGTTGACTTAGCAACTACGAAATGTGTTTTAAGGCACAACATAGTGATTCGGGTCTCACTTTTCAATATGGCGGACGCATTGTACCGATGCAGACCGATGCATGTATTAAAAAAAACATTTTAAAAGAACATTTTAATAATATTCGAGTTTTGTTATAATTTCAATTTTTCATTTATGTGCTATCTATTTCTACATTATATAAACGAATAATGAATAATTTTATCTAATCTAATCGTATCTAGGATTTTTTAATTTATATGCTGGTAGATAAACCTATTTGAAAAATCGTAGTCAGGTTCCAAAAAGGCCAAAACATTGCTTGCACAAAATAAAATGGCCTTTACTGCGTGTAATGCTATAATATAACATATTTAGGCAAAAATTTCAAATTTCCGAGTAAAAAAACCCTTGCGACCGCCGTTTTTTCAATTAGGTCTATGACAATCCAAATAAGGTATATACACTAATACTATCTTATTGTTGGCTGATAAAGTAGCCAATCACAACGCATCGCGCATTTCTTATGATTGGCTGATAAAGTAGCCAATCACACCGCATTGTGGCAAATTTCATTAAATAGTTCACAAGCTAATCTTTAACGGCCGGTTATATGAAGGGAAAATAATACAATTTATACCTAATAAATCCAGCGCCTTTAAAATCCATACTAAATCTATGCATTGGATACCTTTGTCCACCCTTCGAACAGCCGGCATTGAATTTCTAAAAGTTTCTAAATACTAGAAAACTTATAACAACGATTTTCCATTGTATACAGAAAAGTTGTAGTGAATCCAGGGGGAGTAAAGGAGTCGTGCACTCCACTTAAGTTCTACATTTTCACTAACATTCTGAGAGTATTTTAGGCTTATATCTGACGTCATACTCATGGTGCATCCCCCTGGAACTGCCCCTGAAACACCACTTATTTGTAATTGAACAAAAGAAAAGAAAGATGAAAATATCCTTGATAACGACGACGATAAAGTGTCCGATTACCCTCTTCGACAAATTTCAATGAGCTTTTCCCCCCTTCAATATTTGAGATGATACTCTATACCGCCATAGAACTTTTCCGACACCCTKTTACTTTTTCAACGATTGCCTTTTCGTCTTTACTACAAGACGTCTCTGTTCGTGGTGACTTTTCTGGTCGTGCGTTACACACTTTATAGCAGTCCCATGATTGTGTGCATTGCACAGCCCCAAAATACTTCTTTTAAACTTTGTCTAGCCCCGCCCGCTACTGCCTTCAAGGATGGTTACATTCATTCAATAGTATCAGAATAGTAAGTTATTTTAACAAAGAGTAGAGTATGACAGAGTTCCCATCTGGGTCTGTTAATTGCCACTGATCTTCTCCTATATTGCGCACACCGCCTGGAATCTCTGACAACAATTTGGTGATRTCCTCCACAGCAAAACAAAGTGCCACGTTACTCGAATTGTGAGACTCAACAGTAGGGTGAAGAACTAGCTGAAGCTCAAGTTTGCTTGACAGAGAGTAYGTTCGTAGACAGAGACCTTCCTCTATYTTATTGTAMGCCAATGGAGACTTCCCTGTGATCAGYGAATAAAAYCTTTCCATTTCCTCAAAGTTCTCGTTTACAAACACTGTGACCTTAATTCCTGCAAATGGAGAACCCTGTTTCACTGAAAACAAGACTTCRGATTTGTTTGAAAGGTCAAARTGTAGTTCATCTTCCTCTGATATTTGTTTGGGCATTGTAATCTCCTTCCATTCRCTYGAGCTCTTGATTCKTCCCAGAAGGGTATCAGCATTTTTCTGAGCTCTAGCAGTGAAAATCATCATCATGCCAAATGCTGGTACAGAMGAYACTCCTTCCAGGTCCAGCTTCCTGGATTTAACCTGGGGGGAGGTACTAGGACTGGTACCATTGCCTCCTTTTTGAATGGGTTCTCGCAGGGATAAGTAAGAAAACTTGGAAGAAAAYGTGACTAGAATTGCTGATAACTTGTCTGAGAGCTGCTGCCCTTCATCGCTTGAGCCTGACAGCTCTAGATAACATGGCTTAGGGTTAACTATAGAGACAGCTGAAAACAATGACAATAAAAACAATTATTAAATAGAGGATATTATATGGAGATATGGATTTTATTTTGGAGTGTTGAAAAGATCTCTCACAAGTGACATAGAGATTTTCAACACAAGATAAAATTCATATCTCCAAGTGACCATGTAATATTCTATTTATCATACATTAATATATGAAAGCATATTATGTCGTAGACTATACCACCTATTTTTACTTCTGATATATATAGAGAAACCTTGAATGTGTTATTTTCACTATTGAAAATAACAACAATTTCAGAAGAAAGGTATTTAGGTATTTCATAGAAACATAATTATCTGATAATTATATGATAATTGCACATACTTTGAAAATACAGACTTCCATGCCAGTAAATATCATAACGCACATGCATGAAGCCATTTTTGAAATCTAGGAAATACCAACTAAACACTTATTCTTCCAGTCTAATGCCCAGGCTTTTTACACAAGCAAGAATTTGTACTGGATTGAGTGTAGAATCATCAACAATTCAATCTGTAGCTAAAGTGCCTGGGTACTAGAATGATGTACAGTAGCCTTAGATGGAGAAACGAGAAAAGCCTGGGTACTAGGCTGACTTCAAAGGTGATTATATGGTACAAAGCTTTATCAAACTATATTTGACAAAACAAAAATTAATTTATATTGCTGAATTTACGAGACAACCTTTTTCAAAATAGCTGCTATATGCATCATTTACATTCAAACATAAGGTATTTGTACTGTCACACATCGAGTCTTATAATATATCTAGAGTAATATTTCTGCACATTATAGATGGCATTTCAAAG